CACATTTGCGGTCGCAAACTGCTTTGTAAGATTTAACAGTGCCAATCTCTTGCCATACCACTTGAAGAAATACAAAATGAACTAAGTTTTATTTGCATTCCGGGATTAACCACAACAACACCGTTATGCCCTTGCCGAGGTATGTATTAAGCCACACACAATATGAACAGTTAGCTTAAGTTAATTAAACAATCTGAAGAATCGGATTATCCACACAGATTACAGTTTTTCCACAAAGTTTCACTTTTATTAACCCAAGAAAATGACTTGCACTAAATTACACGAAAACAACAAATTTATTGCGCTACGTACCGAGGTGGTTCTTTATTTTCTTCCTTTATGGCATGTCTTTCTTTTTCTCTTGTCGATCGCAGAATGCTCGCGTCGCTTCTCGCTGTTATCGCATCATACTATCGATCACAGCGAGTATCGCATACGTGACTTATCGCACTGGAGTATCACACAAATGACTTATCGCACTAGAGTGTTGCATAAGAGTTATCGCACAATAATATTGCATTAAAAAGATATCAGGTTAGGTATCGGGGCATGAGGGTATCGCTAAGGGCACTATGGGATGTGATGGGTACTCTTGTAACAGTATTTAAATTGAACATGCTAATGTATATACACATTTTTCTTACAGACATTCTGGATTGGGTGGAGGTGAGGTATATGCTTATTTCTGGTAGTTGCTACTTGTTGTGGCTGATTTTCGGCGAATACAGTACCACGTTGTGGTATGGCCTAAAATATATTGCTTGTTTTTGTTGTAAACGAAATGCAAGAACCAACGATCAAGATGAAGACGTGGCTGCTGCAGCCGAAAGGATAAGTAAAATGTCGAGCGAGGATCGCAAGGAGCATGCTTTAGTCCTGAACCGGGTCTCAAAGAAATACTGCTGCATGGCTGCCGTACGTGGAATATCCTTCGCTGTCCAGCCGTGAGTAGTCATTCAAGTGCAGCAATAACAATTACTTAAAAGCCAAGTCCCCAATTTACTGCAGGGGCGTGTGCTTTGGTCTGCTGGGTGCCAACGGGGCCGGTAAAACGACTACCTTCAAGATGATTGTGGGCGACATTGCCATGACGATGGGGAGTATTCACGTCAGAGACTGCAGCATGAAATTCCGCCCCACGGCAGCGAGGCGGCAGATCGGCTACTGTCCCCAGCACGACACGCTCTTCGACTTCTGCACAGGCCGTCAAACACTCAGGATCTTCCTTTTGCTGCGCGGCACACGCCGGAATCTCCTCAAAAAAGTCTCGGAAAAGCTGGCCACCGACTTTGGCTTTTTTGCGCACCTCGACAAAAAGGTCAAGGACTACAGTGGCGGCACTAAGCGAAAGTTAAACGCAGCGGTGGCCGGTGAGGGCTCATCGCTCATTTGTCTGGACGAGCCCAGTTCTGGGGTCGATCCGGCCTCCCGGCGCCATGTGTGGAATGTCCTCTCCTCGCTGCGGGACATGGGGAAGGCGGTGCTGCTCAGCTCTCATAGCATGGAGGAGGTGGAGGCCCTCTGCACGCAGTTGGCCATTATGGTGGATGGGCAAATTCATTGCCTGGGATCCCAGCAGCGCATCAAGAATAAGTTTTCCCAGTGTCTGGTGCTCAAGTTACATGTGGATACCGGAAGTCTGGAAAGGTGAGACCAGTCCGTTTAAACTTTAAAGTGTATTCGATCTCCAGATCGTAAAGAGATAACCCCACAAACCCACCCACCCACACAGCATGGCGTACACTGTACTGAAGGTAAAGAATCAAATGGAATCGGACTTTCCCACGGCATCGCTAGAGTAAGTTGCATTTCAGACCAGCCAAACATACTCACCTCACTCGTAATGACTGCTCATTCAGGGAAGAGTTTGGTGGCAGGCTCACTTACCACATACCCATTGCCAAAATGAGATGGTCGAGGGTGTTCTCATACGTTGAGAGAAATCGCAGCCCTTGGAAGGTGGTGGACTACTCTCTGACGCAGCCGTCGCTGGAAGATGTATTTCTGGACATTGCCAAGAAGAAAGCGAACGAAAAGAAACAACAAAAGAATCAATACAGGCAGCCGAAGAGTCGTCCCCCCAAAAAGGATTCTCCGAAATCTGATAAGGATAATGGCCGCGCCACTAGGGTAACCAAGACATAAGCCTGTAGAAGTGTAGCGAGTGGGGGGCACGGCGAATTCGCCTAAAATAAACAAAGCGGAAAACGCTACTCAAAATACGCAAGTGAGAGGCGTCCGAGTGCTTTTGTTGGAGTGCTTTTTGTATGGAGCGTATCTACATGTGTCTTTTGTTTTGTTTGTTTTTTAGTTTATTGCGAGCGACTAATGAACTTTTGCTTTGCTCTACTCTACTCTCCCTCTCAGTGGGCTGCTCTCTCTGCCATCTATCTACCTCTCTCTGCCTCCTGTCTCTGTCTTTGCTGATTGTTGTCTTTTGTAGTTTTTCCATTCGTTCTCTCCCGCTCTTGGTTGCCTTCACCCAGGCATTCGCATTCAACTTGTTGATAGCGCACCATTTTTCTTTCCCCCTCTTTCTTCTTGCTGCTATTTGGTTTTTCTTTTGCTCAGCTCTTGTCAGATTTTTTCTTATCAGGCGAGAACAAATTGTTTCTGTATCTGTATGTCGCTGTGTGTGCCGGTGTGTCTGTGTGTCTGTGACCTGGGAAATGTGCGATTTTTGCCTGCCGTTAGGTGTCGTTGCGTTACTGTTGCTGTTGCTGCTGCTGCTGTTAACGCTAACGTGACCATGGCCGTAATTGATTGCCGCCTGCCTACTGCCGATAGCCTAATAAATTGATGGGACAGCCACCGCAGCGCAGCAGACGCAACAGCAACAGTTGTGGCAGTGGCAATGGCAGTGGGAACGGAAGCGCCAAAGTATCAGCTTGAAGAGGCTTTTGTTGCGCCTGCAGTCCAAATGAAACTGGTCAATAAATTGAAATCCCTAAATTCCTAAATGCAGCCATTACATTTTTATATTAGGGGATTGATTTTTGCCGACATTTGAGTCGCTGTTGGAATAGTAGTCAGTTTTTATACCCGTACTGAAAAAAAGGTTAAGGGTATATTAGATTTGTGGTAAAAGTGGATGTGTGTAACGCAGAGAAGGAAACGTCGACCCCATAAAGTATATATATTCTTGATCAGCATCAATAGCCGAGTCGATATAGCCATGTCTGTCTGTCCGTCTGTCTGTCTGTCTGTCTGTCTCGAAAAGGCCTCACCAGGCCAGAAACTATAAGAGCTAGGGCAACCAAATTTGGTTTCCAGACTCATGTGATATCCCACTGCTCAAGTTTTTTCAGAATTTCGCCCCGCCCCCTTCCGCCCCCACAAAGGACGAAAATCGTGGCAGGCACAATTTTAAAGATACGAAAAAACTAAAAACGCAGTATGGTGAATGCCCATATCTACCAGACTGCTGAATCTGAATTAGATCGGATCATAATTATAGCCAGAATGACGAAATTAATTTTCAGTTGCTTCCCCTGCCCCCCTCCCACAAACGACAACGAAACTCATTTTCCTTCTCGCTCGCACACTCTGCCGCGTTCAGTGCGCGAGCAACCCCTAACGGAAAAGATGTAGAATATGAATAGTACATCTATAATCTACATGTTAGATGTAAAATATACATTGTAGATGTAGATGAAAATAACAGATGTAGCAAAAAAATGTAATATGTAAAATTTTTTTTTTTAATTCTAAATTCTGAAAATCATATGCTCAAAAATGTAAATACTGACTGAGTACGGGTATAAGTAGAGTCGCGTCTTTAGAAGCGACTCACACGTCCTCTCGTTTTTTTTTTTTTAGAAGAAAATGGCATCTCCAGTTCTTTTTTTTCAAGCATAAACTATCTAAATATATTAAAAATACTACATAATGTTTTAAATAGTGTCAGGACACATTAAAGCGCTTAATCTTAAATTGGAAATGTAAATTAATAAACCCTTATATGCACATCATTACTAATCTCACAAATAGCCTATTCCTTGGCGATTCCTTAATTATTTAATATTATATATTTTATATATTCCCTTAAAGATGTCGTTGAAAATTTACTAAATCTGTCTGATTTAAATAGATTATAAAATTGTATATTTTAATCTTAAATATTTATATATTTTGTTCCTACCTATTATTTTGCTTTATTTAAAACAAAAAAAAATACGTTTATTATTCAAAACCGGAAAAATACATTTTATCATAAGGGTCAATAAACTTTTGTTACTTTTTACTTTCGAAGGAATTCTATAAATTCTGGATCTGATTCAGTCATAATTTGGAACAATTGTTAAGTATTATAGCTTCCCATACAATGTTATTATTTGCAACAGTTACTCAACATTATTATGTCATATCACAGCCCAAAGTTAATCCACGACAAAGCTCTATTTAAACAATGGAAAACCGAAAGCATTTTATAATAATATTAAAATTAAAATAAATATTCATGTGAAGTTTACTTGAACTCTGTTTCTCTGTTGCTTTTTGTGGGTCTGTTTCTGGGTCTCTGGATATGGGATATTGAAATCAAACAAAGGCAACAGCTGTTTTTTTATCCGCTTCTTCTCTTTCGAAACATAAGCTAAAGAGAAAAGAACAAAAGCCATTTATATGGATGGCATGACTCAAAGCGGACAACGTATCGAATCGAATCGAACCGAATGTATCGTATCGAGAAATGCACCGTTAGTTATCTTTCATGTCCAAAAGAAGCAAAAATATACACAAACAACACGTACATAACTATCTGTCTGTAAGCATGTGTTTGCACTCAAGTCAGTTGGCCAAAAAGAACCGGCTTTTTGAGCAAACCAGAAACAGAAAACAGCAGCAGAAAAAGCAGAAAAAAAACCACTCAAAAGTTCGCTTTACAGCTGTTTTCAGATAAACTTTCGATAAACTTTTGCCCCTGAACCAAAGCTTTGACTTTGCGCCAAAAGCTTGCTCTCTCATTTCCCCTTACGATATACGATTGAGTGAGTCGCGAGCTGGGTCTCTTCTGCTCAATGCCAATATGCCGGCTGTTGAAATGGAGTAAGGCGGAAAACAACGCAAAGCACAAGCAACAACAAAAAAAAAAAGTAAACAAAAAGCAAAGATAGCAAAGCAAAAACTAAGCTAAAAATGTGAATGCAATGGCTGGAAAACACTATCTACAAGTATCTGTGGAATACCCTCCACATTGTGGGAGGTAGATGAACCGACTAATGGTTTACTCTTAGCTGAATAGATGTGAAATATGTAGATCACTTGGAAACTAGGAAATACTCGTATATGTAGATCACTTGGAAACTAGGAAATACTCGTAACTAAAGTGGGAAAGCCTAACACGGTCCAAACAAACAAATATGAAAATTTCAATTCAGAAATTCCCAAAAATTAATAGAATGATGGAATTTCATTTTGTAAGAAATGTTTATTACAAATTTAAATTAAAAATAATAATGGGAATCAGAAACTAAGAAACTAGAATGCGCAACATATGGAATTCCATAAGATTATTTCAATATAATCGTGATTGCATTTATATTTGTTAGCTCCCATTTTCTTTTCTGTTTATTAATTTTGTTTTGGTCCCTTTGAAACGGAAATGACGGCACACGCAGTACAATGTAACGGTCTCTCTCTATTTTTTTTTTTTTGTATTCATATATTTTTAACTTTAGCGTGGCTTACAACTAGTAACAATAACAATAACAGTAAGGGTGATGGACAGGAAGGTGATGGGGTGTAGGGGTCGTGCGTCGAGCGGTACTGCCGCAAGGCATTGCTTCGCCGCCGCGAGGACACCTACTCCGTCCGTTCCTTGCGCCTTCTCTCCAGGGACCTAAGCGTTCTCATCACGCTACAGGCGAACACCGCGGCCGCTTCCCAGACTCTTGGCTCAGCCAGCATCAGCGGCACCAGATTTTCTGCACTTATTCTTTTCCCTGCAGCGGCTTCCAACTCCTGCCGCTCGTAGTCGAACCTATGGCACTCAAAAAGAACGTGCTGAACGTGACACCAATCCTGCGTCTCGTGGCCGAAGCGCTTGAGGTAGCTGCGGAAGCAGCCGTGCCCGCTCAGAGCCTGGGTGAGGTAGAAGTCTACCTGTCCGTGCTACCGCTCCACCCAGCACGCTATGCGCGGGATGAGGGTGTGCGTCCAGCGCCCTTTTTGTGAGCTGTCCCACCTTGCCTGCCAATTCTCCAAGCTGCTCCTCCTGGCGGCAACCTTCAGCTCGGCCACGGAGACGGTCTCTCTCTATGTGTGTGTGTGTGTGTGTGTGTGTGTGTGGCGTAGTGTTTGTGTCTCTGTCTGTGTGTACTTATGCCACCCATAAACCACATGGCGGAGCGGAGCGTGACACCAGCAACGACATCAGCAGCAGCGCGACTTCTGGCTTTGGCTTCCTGCAAAAAGTGTTGACAAAGCGTGCCAAAAAGCATCTTCCAACCCGAGCGAGCGCAGTCCCCTTCCTTCTTGTTGCCATTACAAAGATAAACATGGGACCCGCCATAGCCTGTCTTTACTGTACTTGAAGTAGGGGTCTGAGTCTATGCCACGCGACAACCGGGGCCATAAATTGTGTAAAGTTCTCTCCTAGTTCTCATCGTCCGCCTGGTTGAACTCCTCCATTCCATTCCAATCCATTCCGTTGCTCCGTTGCTGTTGCTGTTTCTGTTCTGTTTCTGGTTTGTTTGTTTGCCATTGCCCCGCTGTTTGTTTGCCCGTGCCGTTTGTTTGAAATTAATTAAAAGTTTATGTGATTGTTTTTTAGACCATCCACAAGTTTTCGGGACATAGGGCATACGCCACACCCACACCCACACTCACACCCAACCACCCACTCCCATAAAGCAATCTCAATAGAAACGCCACTCACTGTGGCACCCCACTCGAGAGCGGTTGATCATTCATCTTTTTGGGGTTTTGATTACATTGTTTTCATATTCAAATCGGTTCTAGCATCGATTGGGGGGTGGAAAGAAGTGTATATGGTGTGCTTGGGAGAGAATCCTTCTTCAATAACTTTTACTCTAGAACTCAGGCTAATCAACACAACCCATGAATCACCTAATTGAAAACTCTCTGTCAGATGCGTAAAAAATTCATAAGACAAATTTTCTGCTATTTGGCAAACATTTCTCAACCAGGTCTCCTCATTAATATTTGATGGCCAAAACATGGCGCTAATGAGACACAGACAGATACTCGTATTCACATTCCGTTTCTTAGGAATCCAGCACCGTTCATTCGAACGCCTAAACATGCAACCAATT